GACCCCGAGTGCCCGGGGTCCCGAGACCCAGCGGGCCGAGCTTGCGAAAGCTTCACTTAGCCCCTTCCGGGTGTGTTCTCGTTCGTAGTGCAGTTTTGCTGGCAGTATACCGGTTTCTTTCTGCGTCCTTGGAAGACAGCATATATAAACAAGTCGTTTCCTGGCAAAACCTAGGCGCGTTTGTTGTTTGCTTAGGCTCATCTCCCGAGGTTTTCTTTTCTAGGGCCCAATCGGGGAACGCATGGTGAATATCCCCCTTTGCCTAGTTCTGTTTGTAGGAACCGTTCTTTCGACACAAACAAAATAAAATTAGCATGTTTATATTAAGATGCTCAATTGCAACCTCAAAAACAAAATGTCTCAGAATTACATCTCGGCATTTCAAGCGGAAGTGGTAATGCCTTAGTACTTCATAACAAATTATTGTGGAGGGAGCGAGGTCCTAAGCCTGAGGCGTATGGATTCCCCGAGACATCATTGTCCTTCATTAATTCTGTGAAACTTCGGAGTTGCAGGGATTTCTGTGGTGACTGTTCTTAGGCAAATTATCTAAAGCTGTTACCACTTCTCGAGGATTTGGGCACAACCAACCCCATTACTGTTAAGCCCGCCTAGACTAAGCACTGGTACATCCCGTTATGTCTGTATGCCTTAGGCAGTTGGATAGAAAGACAAATAAAAGTAAAATCCTACTTTCAAAGAGCTTTGAGCTACTGTGGGGATATAAATGTAAGCTAGATCTAGAGAACTGTTAAAACTTGACAGACCTAAAATAAGTTGTATATAGAGAAGTGAAGTTAGATCTTGTAACTTTTGAGAACAACACAATAGGGTGGTAGTTAGATGGTGGCATTCCAACCAGCGAGTGGCATAGACAGATGGACCAGAGCATAGTAAAGTGTATCTGCATTGACGGTTAAGTCAGGTGAAACATTGGATGTCATTGATTCCTCAGTGGAGTTTCAAAGACTGGGAGGTGACTCAGAAGATGGTCATTATTGTTCTTTCCCTTCTGCCTTTGTCTGTCTGTCCCTCTGTCCGTCCCTCCCTCCCCTCCCCCCTTCCTGCCTGCCTGCCTGCCTGCCTGCCTGCCTGTCACTGTCTATTTTACTTTGTTTTTTTGTATTAGACCTATTTGTGTGCATGAGTGTTTTGCCTACTTGTCTGTATATGTACCATGTGCATGCCCGGAGCCCTCAGAAGTGGGTGGTTGTTAACCACCAAGTGGGTACTGGGAATGGAACCTGGGTTCTTTGCAGGAGCAGCAAGTGCTCTTAACTCCTGAGTCATCTGCTTGTGGTTCTTACAGTACAGTTGTTGTTTAATCCACTTATTAGCCTCCAACTGAGACATGGTACTCTCTTGAGAGGAGTAGTGCATGTCTGCAGTCCCTGGGATAGCTGCAATTTAAGAAACAATTTCGAATAGGTGATATTTTAAATAGAGAGAGGCAGTAGACAGAGATCAATTAGCAATTTTTGTGATTATCTAAGGAAAATGATTAGAAGTTTGAAAGATTTAAGAATATACAAGGTGATTATTAAATATGAAAATGCAGGCAATTATGTAGTATTGCCATTGGGGAAAAATTGAAGCAGTTATTATAAACTGATAATTTCTGTAACAGAATTGGATAATGCACCTGTGTAGAATAGAATATACTCTTAAGTTTATCTGGATACCTTCCTTTCTTGAAGGTATGCTTAATGAAACCTTTTTTCTCCCCCAGTACAGATTAAGTTTCAGTATTATTCCAGTATTAAGAGTGTTAATAAAGCAAGGGAGGGTAAAACCATTAAGAATGTTGGGAATTGTATTATAATATTAATTAACTATTTATCCTGTATAGTTTATGTTTTCAGACTTGTCCTCTAGCATTCATAGATCTGTATCCTTTTTAAATTGGGGGAGGGGGAGATTGAGACTCCTCCCGGACTCCCCTTTGCTTAAGTCATCTCACCAGCATTCCCTGCCTGACAGACTTGCCCTTCTTTTCTCAGTGGCAGGATTTTTAAGAAAGGTGTCCCATTTCAACTGTGGACTGTTCTCTTAGAGAAAGTGGTTTTCTAAAATCACATTATGACTTTTAAGTTGAATCTGTAAGAGGCCAGTTGTGGGGAAGTGAAATAAAACAAAGCCCATTCTTTTCCATTTGGCATCCTTGGGTTATTTAAAGATGTCAAATGCACTCTCTCCTAGTAGTTCCAAAGAAGTCTTAAATGCTCAAATCCTCCTTTCAATTGAACTAAGTAGGTTACGAATAGTACTAAATTTTTACATGTGGTAGAGGAGTGGTTTCTTTGGGGGTCGGGGAAGTTTTCTTCAGGAAGTATTTGATGTGGGCGATAAATAATAAGTAGTAAAGTGTTGGTCAGGTCTTAAGTGATACGGTTAATAGATAACATTTCTCTAGACAAGGTTTTGGTTTGATATTTTTCTGTATTAAGTCATTGGCTGCAGTCGTCAGAGGCTGTAGCTTAAACAGTAATGCTTCCCTTATATATTGTCAGGCATAGAACCTCGGTAATGATAGATAGTACCAAAATTTCCCATTTCACTCATATGAGTACCTAGATGTTTTCCTCACCTAGTCCCATATTTCTCCTAGTATGACTGATACACATAGATAGCATATAACGAAGTATCAGTTTACTGCCAGTGCAATAGTTCTGAAGACCCATGTTAATAGACATTTTAGCATAACCAAGACATTGGGATTTTTTGGTGAAGTGTAAATTGCTAAGATCTGCTAGTGTTAGCTTATAGGACCAGGTGATGCTATGATACCATTATGTTTTGGGAATGGCTGGAATATCAGGGAGATATAGCTCATCAGTGTGATTATCTTTTGTTTTTCTCTGTGCAACCTTGGCTGTCTGGGACTTAATATGTAGACCAGGCTGGCCTCAAACTCAGAGATCCGCCTGCCTCTTACTTGTGCCACCACTGCTTGATTCCAGTTTGAATGTCTTTAAAAGGGATTAACTATTTTTTTTTTTTTTGACAGCCTTTTGGGTGTCCCAGTTGCATATGATAACATCAGAGTTGTGGGCGAACTAGGAGATATTTATGATGATCAAGGACATATCCATCTTAACATTGAAGCAGATTTCGTTATTTTCTGCCCTGAACCAGGACAGAAGTTAATGGTATGTACATCATTTTCCCTCACTTTCTTTATTTAGGTTTCTCTCTCTTCCCACTCCCTAGTCATCACTATTCTGCTTGGAGCTAGGTTTTTAAAATGAATTTTAAAAATGAATTTTAGTTTCCCCATGGAGGAAAGCCTCTCTTTGCCTGATTTCTTTCTTTTAACATGACGCACTCCAGTTCTTTCATGCTGTAAGTCACAGGAATTCATTCTTCTTTGTGGATGTGTTTATTTCATAGTATTGTGCTGCGTATGCAAACCATAATTATCTATCCTCGACAGACATGTATATTGGTTCTGTGTCTTAGCTGTTGTGAATAGTGCTATGTAAATGTGGGTGAACAGGATTTCTTTTCTGTGTTGATTTTATATCTACCGGATTGCTATCATTGTATGGTAGCACTACCTTTTGTTTTTAAGAATTTACATCCTGCTTCCCATAATGTCTGTTAATTGATATTGACAGCAGGAGCTCGGATGAGTTCTTGGCCCTCACATCTTTCCAGCATGTAATTTTTGTTGTTATTCACTGTTGGAGGTTCAGTACTGAGTCATTTTCTTGTTGCTATAACAAAATACCTGGTGGAAACAGCTTGAGGGAGGAATGATTTTGTTTGGCTCATGCTTTACCTGGCAAGGAGGCACAGATCACAGAGTTTGTATCCCGCTGGGCCAAGAAGCAGGGAGAAGTGCTGGTACCTAACAAAATTTCTACTTTTCTCCTCTTACTCTCTCTGGGCCCTGGCCTTGGTTCTGCTCCTCTTCAGGGCTGTTTTTCGCAGCTTTGTTAATTTTTGGAAATGTCTCATAGACACACTAGTCTAATTCTAAACCCTGTCAAGTTTTGACAGTGAAGATTAGCTATTGCAGATATCTCATTGAAATTGTGACATATTTCCCTTGTGAGCATTTTCCGCATGTGTTTATTGGCTCTTTCTGCTGCTTCTTTTGGGATGTGTAAAATCAGATCATTTGCCCATTTTTAGTTGACTTGACTTTTCAGTTCTTTGGGTTTTTCTGTGTATTGAATCACCTGCCTATGCATGGGGACAATTAAGACTTTCCTATCAGTCTACTTTCTGTTTCATTGTAGTACCTTCTTGCTCTGTCTAGTTTCCAGTACTGTATTGAAGGAGGGCAATGAGAATGGATAAGCTTGTATTAGTTCAGGGTTAATAGGAAGTGCTGTCTCCCTTCCAATGTGTTGTTGGCTAGAAGTTGACATGCACAGGTCTTTATTGTGTTGTGGTCTTTCTAACTTCTTAAGGGATTTTATCATGAAGGAATGTTGAAAATTATCAACTGCTATTTCTTCATCTATTAAAATGATGGTTGGATTTTAATCCTTCATTCTATTTGAGTAATTAATATTTAACTGCTTTGTGTATGTCGTACAATTCTTAAATTCCTATAATGAAACTGTTAACTTGACAATATTACATGAGTTTCTGATAACACTGTTACCTTCAGTTGCCATTATTTTAAGGGTGTTTTTAGACTGTGTTACTAGATTTCATTTCTTATCATTTTCAGGTTTTGGTAATAAGGTCATATGCACAGAATAATACCCTTCATTTTAGTAATACTGAAAAGCTTGAGAAACTCTGGTGGTGTTCTTACTCAAAAGTAAGAACTTTTTGGTAAAACTGAGTGATGGAGCCATATGTTCATAGTCTTTTTTTGTTTTTAATTACCAATTCAGTGTCATTGTATAGGTCTATTCCAGTGGACTTTTGGTGAACTTGGCTAGGTCATATGTGTCTAGAAATGTGTTCATTTCTTTTAGATTTTCCAATATGTTCACATGCACTATTTATTTAGAAATTATCTCTAACAGTCTTTTAATTTCGGTAGAATCAGTTGGAATATAACTTTATTTTTCACTTTTATTTGCCTCTAACCCCATTGCCAGTACAGCTGTACCAGTCTTGTTTACCTTTCCTGAGAACCAGTTCTACTCCCCCGTCTTTGCTCTCCATTGTCTCTTTATTTGTCTTAGTGGCATTGGGAACTGCTGTGTGTCAGTAGTATACCTTTTTGTCCAAACAGCTTTTCTTGCAAATGTTCATTATGTAATGTGTTGCTGGTCAGGTTCAAGGCCTCTGTCCTCTTGTCACACCATCAACCTCCACAGAAACTCCCCCAGACATCCATTGTTGCTCTGAATCAATTTGGCCTCTTTACTGCCTCTGCAGGACCAGTCTGTTCCCATACTCTAGCAGGTCGTAGATGGAGTAGATGTTGAGGTGTGCCAGCTCAAAGCCCTGGATATGTACCAGGGTGCTGCTGAGTTGGTCAGTATGGGAAGCTTGGACCACTCCCCTCAGGACTGGGGCCATCTTTCCCAAATATGGGTGGCTAACTCTCTTATTAGGGGTGGGACCGAGCTTTTCCCTGCCAGGGTGATCAGGATCTGTTACTGCAGTACTGACAAGGGATGGGTCAGCTCTCCATGGCCAGTGAGTAGTGGGACCAGCTAGCAAGCCCTTGTACTTCAGTTCATGGTTCAACACGTGGTTCTCATGGGCCCCTGTGGGGACACAGGCAGTTGACATTGATAGAAAAGTGGACATCAACACAGACCACAGCTGTGTGAGGATCATGGACCCAGACATGGCCAGCAGCAGCAGCTTGGGCCTAGTCACCATGAACCCTGGTGGCAGCGTATGCCTCTCAGATCGGCATGGGCACAGCAGCAGTATGGTTGTCAGACTCCAAATGGTCCCAGGTGGCAATAGAGATCCCAAGCAGTTGCACTGCCCCTGATGGCAACAGGTGCCACATACCTCAAGTCAGACCCAGACATGGCCCTGGATGGCAGCATAGACCACGCTGATCTTCATGGCCCTGATGATAACATTATCCTTGGGTACCTATGTGTTGTCAGGTATTGGCTCAGACCCTGGTCATCTTTACTGCCTTTGGTGGTAACTTGAGCAAAGGACATCAATGCTGTCCCTGGCTGTGGTGGGGCCAAGGACCTAGACATGGCTTCCTGCAGCAGCCTGGGCTAGCCTACTCCATGGGCATGGTGGCAGCACAGGGCACTCAGCCCCAGCAGCTGCACGTCCCTTGGACCAACATGGTCACAGATGGTTACCCAGACCCCTAAATCTTTGTGGGCCTTTGGTGGTGACACAGGCCATGAACATCAACACAGACCCCAGCTGCAGTAGGGTTTATAGACCCAGCCATGGTCCTCAGCAGCAGCCTGGGTTTGGATGCATCATGGTCCCTGGTGGCAGTGCAGGGCACTTAGATTAATATCCCAGCTGCAGGGTGGCCCCCCGACGTGGGGCTCCCACCCAATCCTTGAAGGAGACAGGTGCCTTGGATATCAGCATAGACCCCGGCATTGTAGGACCCAGGACCCAGACATGGCCCTTGGCCGAAGCCCCTCAGATCGGGATGGCCCCTGTGATGGCATGGCCCTTGGGCACCAATGTGACCACATGTAGCAGCCCAAACCGCGGGCATCCTCATGGCCTTTGGTGGTGACAGGAGCTATGGACATCAATACAGACCATGGCTGTAGCAGGACAGTGGACCCAGACATGGCCCTTGGCAGCAGCCCAGGATTAGACTATCCAATGGCTCCAGATGGTAAGCAGATCTTCCATATCAGCCCATTCCTCACCATCTTTGCCTCTACAGATTCTCCGCTCGCCACAAGACATGAACCTCTGTCTCTCCCCCTGCCATGCCCCTCCCTACATTTGTTTGCCATAATGGCGCTCAGCAGCTCAAACTGCAAGGCACACGGTGGGCCCTTAGCTTCTTCCCGCCCACCCAGATCAAACTACCCCTGGGGGTGAATGAGTCCAGAGGCAGTGAGCAGGCCCTTAATTTCTTCCTGCCTGCCCAGGGCCAACTACTCTGGGCAGCATGTCCAGATAAAGTTTTTAACTGACTTTGTTTTTTTTAAATAGTTACTGTATTTGAGAATTTTATATGATTTATTTTGATTGTATTCATTCCACTCCCCTAACTTTCCAGCTCTTCCCTTTGTTTCCCACCCAGCTTCCTTCCTTCCTTCCTTCCTTCCTTCCTTCCTTCCTTCCTTCCTTCCTTCATCCAGTTTGTGTTGGCTGACTACACCTGGGCATGGGGCCTTTGAGTGTGTTTGGTATACTAGGTATTGCACCCTTAAAGAAAAGCCATTATCTCTTTAGCTGGAGTGGGACTTGGTGCATATCACCCCTTCCATGCTTGACAAGACTTTCCCTAGGGAGATGCAGCACACATGTCTACTCTCCCCAGCAGGAAGGAAGCCTATGACAGACCAAGGTATGGATATCACTAAAGTCCGACTTGGTGAACCAGTTAGTGTTATTGGGGTTACTTACAGGAATGTGTGTGAGGTGTCACTTACTGGAGCAGAAATGACTCAACGACAGCTATACCACTCGAAGCCCGCCTCAGTACAGATGACAGATCACAACCTGGGAGCCTGGAGCACTCTACATAGGCTGCAAGGAGCTCAACAATTGGAGTGTCCTTTCTAAGCAACTTAATTGGTCTCAATGTCTTCCAGATAGCTTGGCTGCTTTCTATTTCTAGGTAGCTAATATGGGTCTTAGTCTTCATTAGTTTGATTTGTCTGAGTCTTCTTTTAAGCTTAGCTTGTCTGGGAATGATTCTCAGCAACCTTTATTGTTTATTCTTGGGGGAGGGAGGGGGGCCTAGTGAATCTGATCAGTTTCAGGTACTTCATGAAATTATTTTAATTATTTTTGAGTTGTTTATCTCTTGCTTGTAGAGCTTCCTTGTAGGATCCAATGTTTCAGTCTTTTTTTTGTTTGTTTTTGGTTTTTTGAGACAGGGTTTCTCTGTGTAGCTTTGGAGCCTATCCTGGCACTCGCTCTGGAGACCAGGATGGCTTCGAACTCACAGAGATCCAGCTGTCTCTGCCTCCCGAGTGCTGGGATTAAAGGTGTGTGCCACCATCACCCGGCAAATGTTTCAGTCTTTAGGAAACTGCTATACAACATATGCTTTCACGGTCACTCTTGAGTCCCTGTGATCCTCATCCTCCATCACTGTCTCTTACAGTCTGTCTACCCCTCTTCTGTAAGTGGGCTGAGCACTTAAATCTCTTATTCTCTGCACATTGACTGTTTGTATTATATTAATTGCCGCCCATTCCAAGAAGCTTCTCTCATGAGGGTTTAGTGATGTACTGATTCCTGCTTGTAGCAGTAAGTCATTGAGAGTTGTTTTATTGCTTTGTCCTTTTGGCTTAATAATAGTAATGGTTTTCCTCTAGGATCCATGTCCCATCTTGCCATGAGTTTGGGGCCCTTTGACAGTGTCTAGTATGGGTTCCCTCTTTTGGGTTGGGCCTTGGATCCAATAAAAATGTGGTCTGTTACTCCATGGCATTTATGACAATATTATGACACATTTATGACCAGTAGGCATGTCTTGCCAGGCAGATCATTAATGTAGCTTGGGAGAGATTGATGCTTTCTTTTTTTCCCCCAGAGGTACCATAAAAGCTATCCAGTAGGGAAGAAGCTTCCATTGTCAGACCTTTTTATCTTACTTTCTGAGTTCTCCAAGATACCCAACAGAAAACTGGGTAGGGAAGGTTTGTTTTGGCTCGCAGTTGTGAAATGTCAATCCATCATGGTGGAAAAGGCATTGTGGAGAGGCTCTGTGCATGGTAGTGGACCAGAAAGTTGCTGCAAGACAGGAACAGTGCTGGGCTATAACGTTCAGAATCCCACCCAGGAGATGAACAAGTGGGGTCCATCTTTATAGACTCTTGATGATGTTTCATCCATGTCCTGCATTCTCTTCTTAGAATTGTTTGATTGTTGATGGTTGTTTTTCTTTGCTGAGCTTTATAAAAAGCTGTTTGTTGCGATTCTTTGTGAGGCATTTATTTCACCTATTTTGAAAGTTTTGAATCTTTTACTGTAGTTATATTTGTAGGACGTGTCATTACTTTGTTTTCATATGTATTGTGTGTCTATTTTGGCATTTGTACATCTGGTGTAACAGATCAATATCCTTTATCAGATGGTCTTCTTGATAAACAAAAGAGAATCTTAGGAGATTGGTTTATTTTTTAGGAGTTGAGTATTATAGTCTTCCTACAGGTTGTTTTGGTTGTGATTGGTACGTTTGGGCATGGGGTACACAGTCCTTGGCATCTTTGTTGTTATTATGGGGAGCATCACCCCCCCCCCATACACACACACACACACACACACACACACACACACAAGAGTTTCATAAGAGTTGCATGCAGGAGCGCGGTGAAGGGATATTTACAGGAACATGACTACTTTACCAGTGGTTATACTACTGAAGAACTCTCTGCCTTTCTCAACAACCATTATCTGGCCCAGGATCCTCTGGGAGGAGTGTGAGGCCTTATAAGTTCCTTACTCCCATGACAGGATGTTGACAGGCCCAGTCTTATACAGATCTTGTGTTATGTTGTCCTAGCTCCTGTGGTCTCAGGAGTGCAAGGGCATATTATGCTTGGAAGATAGTAGTCCACAATATTCTACCCTTCCTTTAGCTTTTACATTCTTTCCACTCCCGCTTTCACAGTGTTTCCCTGAGTCTTGGGGAGGGTGATACAAATGTCCCATTTATGGCTGAGTAATCACCAGACACTTCTTTTTTTTCTTTTTAAGACCTTACATATTTAATACAGTGTGTTACGTCTGTACAAATGGAAAAAAAAATTAAGTTCAACATTTCTAGACCACTATGGCTGTTAATTTTTGTATAATGCCAACTCAACATGGTAAACTGGAATACTTTTTTCCAAAGTTGACAGCACAGTTAAAGTATTTAAAAAAAAAAAAAAAAGGTAAAAAACAAAATCCCAGAAAAACAGCACAGTTCTTTCTGTTACTCTTGTAGTACCTGGCATCATTTTTTTTTTTTTTTTTTAAATTACCTTCTCAATCATCATCTGGAAGGAAACCATTCTGAACAACATCATTAAAAACAGCTCTGATAAAGCATGGTCACTACTATGTATCATAAAGCAGGTCCACATATAAGTGAGTACATATCATGTTTGTCATTTTGTGATCACCAGACACTTCTTATCACTTTGACCAGTTAACAATCTCTGCTGTTAATGCTGTCTCACTATAAAAAGAAGCTTCCCTGACAAAGCCAATAGCTGTAATGAGTATAATTACAACTATTTAGAAGGCATTTTGATGGGTGCATCATGTCCATTTAACAAAACAAGAGCAGTGGTTTCACCTGGCTTTTGACCAGGTTTACATATTAGGTGTGAATTCTCACATATTGGACAAGCCTTAAATTCAGTCATAATTTTACCAGTGTCCATATTAGTAGACACTTGGAACAATTCCCCCCAAGAAGCCTGCATAGCACCTCCAGGCTCTAGGCTTTGCCAGGGGGAAGCCTTCAGCTCAGTACCAGTTTGATGTCTCTGTGCCCTGCTACCAGAGCATTTGGGTCCCCAGCAGTGGGGGGGGGGGTCTTACTGTCTAATTGGGGTAGAAGACCCAACAGTAGCAATTGTGCGTGCTATTTCAGGGAGAGGGGAGGTATCTCAGCAGCCTTTGGGACTACCGTGTAGGGAAGTATGACCTGGACCAGTTTTCTAAGATAGAGGAAGGACCAAGGGATGAGAAAAGAGAGCAGATAGGAAAGCTGTGGTAAGGTCTTGCACAATCTCTATTAAGAAGTACAGTTTTCAAGGAAAAAATAGGACAGAGTCAGGAGAAAGCTGTTATGAACTAGGTCAGAGTCAGCAGGAAGCTGTCATACAGTAGGAGAGAGTCAGCAGGAAGCTGTCATACAGTAAGAGAGAGTCAGCAGGAAGCTGTCATAAAATAGGACAGAGTCAGCAGAAAGCTGTCATACAGTAGGACAGAGTCAATAGGAAGCTGTCATACAGTAGGACAGAGTCAACAGGAAGCTAATCAAGCAGTGTTGCACAGAGGGAACATAGGATATTTCAAGTGTGTCACAGATTGAGCACACAGTGGCCTTGGGACTGATAGCTCCCATCTCTGCTGGGGATATAGGGGGAGTGGCCCGGTCCCAGCCCCTCAGCAAGGACACACAGAACTAGTTTTCTCTTTTCATCAAGGGCCTAGTGAGGTGGTCTTGGACAGCCTGGCTCCCAACTGACAAAAATTGACCGTTTCCATTTATCCCATATTTAGATGTCTTGTGTTTCTATTTCCATTTGTTTGGTGAAATTTGTAATACCTTTCAAATTTAAAATACTCTTCACCATATCTTCCTTGACTTATTGGTTGTTCAAAGTAAGCTTTCTAGAAGCTGGTAAATGGTTTAGTGAAGTGCCTGCTGCACAAACATGAAAACCTAAGGCTTGATCCCCAGTACTCACATGGAGACTACATGTTGACAAACACCTGTGACTCCAGCACTAGGAGTAATAGAGACAGGTAGGTGGCTTATGTTCATTAACCAGCTGGTTTAGCTCAATCTGTGAGCTCTACATCTGGTGAGAAATTGTCTCAGAAAAGTTAAGGTGGAGAAAAATTGAGGAAGATACTCAATGTCTAACTCTGGCCTTTAAACACACATGTACATCACTTGAACACAACAATGTATACACACAAAGTAAGTTGCCTAATTTCCTTTTTTTTTTTGTATAGTTTTCAAAGCTTCTTACAGTTTTTCATTTCTGACTTCATCTAATTGTAGGCAGAAAACATGATTTCATTTTTAAAAAACTTTCTGTTACTTCCTTGAGAATCTCATACAATGTGTTTTGACTATAACCATCTCCATGCCCCACTCTTTCAGCTTCTTACCAGATCCATTCCTGCTTTCCTAACACACCCAGCTTCATGTTTTCTTTTCATTTTATTTTTTAGCACAGTTTGTGTGGGCCAAAACTAGGCTGCACAGTTCCCAACAGCGTCCTTGTATATAGGAAGCTTCTACAGTAGCAGATTTCAATATGCCTTTTTCAAAGAGTCTTTAGTGTTAACTCTCCCCATAATCATAGTCCTTACTGTAGCACACCCATCCATCTCCCTCCTCAATTTATTCCCCTTTAGCTCTAGTCAGAGCTTATCTGTGTGATCTCTACACAGGCTCTATAGCATTAGCTGTCTGCAGTCCAATGTTTACTATATCATCCCCCTCCCCCCCCCCAATAAGGTTTTCTGCTCTCGAGGTTAGGGGAGTGTTAGTGTAGGCAGATCCCTGGCCATCTGTACTGGTACTGAGGTGAGTCATACCTGAACTAATCTGTTCCCGGTTGTACATGCTTCTTGCCTAGTTGTGCTTTTCACATAATACATGTGCTTTTCACATAATACATATGCTTGTCACAGGGCATTCTTTCTTGACTTCGGTGTGCCATAGAGTCTTCCTACCTGCAGTGGGAGCTCAGTCTTTGTCCCCCCCCCCCCTTTGTTTAAGGTGGAACTGGCATAGTTGTTGCATATCCTGTTATTATTAGACAATGTAATTATTTAATGATGTTTAAAGTTTCTAAATTTTCTAAAATTATGCCTTGCAATGACATGGTATGCTTGTTAGATTTTTTTCTTTTTGTAAACCTTTTCAATATGAAAACATCACTAATCTGATATTTTCCCTTTTGACGATGAGTTTCAGGTTTATAAAATTGACTGTCTTTGGTTCTCTTCTTGATGTTGTTTCTTTCTTTTCTCTCTTTTACAGGGTACCGTTAATAAAGTATCTTCCAGTCATATTGGCTGTTTAGTACATGGGTGTTTTAATGCCTCTATCCCTAAACCTGAGCAGATGTCTTATGAGGAATGGCAGAACTTGGAGATAAATGTAGGTGATGAACTGGAATTTGATGTATTTCGCTTAGATTCAGATTCTGCTGGAGTATTCTGCATTCGAGGAAAACTAAATACCACAAGGTTAGTGTATGGTGGTTGAAATAGTAAATAGGAGACTTTATTGATTTGGTATATTTGTTTAGGTAATTAGCCTGGATTTAATGGTTAGGATTTTCTTAACCAGCCCCGAAATCTGAAGCTGTTTCAACTTCTGAGAAGCACAGTAAAAGAAAAAAACAAAACAAAACATTTGATTGTCAAATTTGGGCCAGGTATAGTGGCATGTGCCAGTAATTCCCAGCATTCTGAAAGCTTAGACAGGAGTATCCCGAGTTGGAGACCAGCCTGCCACGGGGAGAAATAACAAAGATCAAAAAGTAGCTGGGTAATTTTACCATTGACAGCCTCTAGAATTTAGTGTCCTGAGTAATAACAAGACAGAACGTTTGGAATTAGAGCCACACTACGTTACATACCTTTGTTGTGCAAAAACCGTAGTCTATTGAAATTATCTTGGCCCTATTTTTTTCAGTCGTTTTGCTTATTGCTGTTAATATTCTTAAAATTTGCTCATTTACAGTTTGCAGTTTAAGAACTCTGTAGTTTCTGAAGATGTAGCAGAAACTGGCATTGAAGAGGTTGCTGAAAAAATTTCAAAGAAGAAGAAGAAGAAGAAGAAAGAGACAGGAACATGTGCAGCAGTCGATGGTGTCACAGAGCTAACAAATTGTGCAGATGCCACTCCAAAGGAAGAAACAGACCTACTATATGGTGGTTCTATGGATGACCTCTGTGAAGACGAGCCAAAGAAGAAGAAAAAGAAGAAGAAAAGGCACCAGGAAGATCAGGACCCTGTTTTCCAAGCCAGTGACTCCAGTGGCTACCAAAGTGACCATAAGAAGAAAAAAAAGAAAAGGAAACACAGAGAAGAGATTGACTCTGCATCACCTAAGAAGAGACAGTGACTGTCTTTTGTGTTTTTGACATCCTTACATACAGGATAGATGAATAGATGTTGTGTAAGGTAGGGAATGCTTACATATATGGGAAGGTCACAAACACATGTTAGTAATTGGAGAGCTTTGTATTAAAATCATACATGTGACTATGTAAATTTTAGATAATACCAGTAGTATTAAAGTATCATTTTATTACACAGTATAAAATGTTAACAACTTAGCAACTGCTTTCATTCCTGTCTCAGATGTTAACACGCTCCATAAAATTCTACATTCTCAGTATTTGCCAAAGAACTTTGTAATACTTTCAGTTTTTTTTCTGATAATAAATTTTGCCCTTATTTAGAATATGGTTTTATTTTTAAATGCTCAATACATTTACTACTTTTAAATTTCCCTTAAACAGTATTTCTATTTTATTAAATATGTATAACTAAATAATGTCTAGAACACTTCTGTACCCTGTGGCTTTCATTGTTCAATGTGTAGTAGGTGGGAAACTCATTCTCTCCCAAATTGTGTGTGTGTGTGTGTGTTTCTCTCACCCTGAGACTACCATGGGAAGGGCTGTTAACTTTGACCTCATGTCTCTACAGTATTCCTTTTGTTATATATGGATCATGAGCAAGATGAAGGTAGAATAAATGTGATTCTTACAAGTTGAAAATGTTTTTAATTATTAGGGTTAGGCTACTAAGATTGCCTTGAAGAGGAGACAACAATTATTGCTTTTAGTGATAGAAATGTGGAATACATTGTGAGTAACAGAATGTGGTTATGAGAGGGTAAGCTGATTGAGGATCACAATCAATCCATTGCTATGCATTTGTAGACATTTAACATCTTGAGGGACAAGGATGTAAAGTCAATCATAATGTAGTTCTTCCTCCAATAAGCAAAATGGGAGGAACACTTGTGTGTGCACAGTAAGGAAATAGAAAAGGTTAGTAATACCATGAAGAAAACATTGACTCTTCATTTCGTAGCTGTACATATACAGGGGTAGGGCTGACCTCCTTGTCAGTTACGTCTGCTGTCCCTGACTGAGTGGCAGACATAGTGTAAGCATTAATGTTTGATAAAGAGTAAATTTTGCCAATTGTGTTTTTATATGTAAATTTTTACTTAAATTAGAAAGTCTTATTTTACATACCAATCTCAGTTCCCTCTCCCTCCCATTCTCCCATGCTCCCCCATCAACCCCCCCATCCACTCCCCAGGGAGGGTGAGGCCTCACATGAGGGGTCATCGATGTCTGACATGAAACCTAGGCCCTCCCCCAGTATATCTAGGCTGAGAGGGTATCGATCGATAGCGAATGAGCTCCCAAGCCCCTTCATGCACTAGAGATAAATACTGGTTCCACTGGCAGAGGCCCCATAGGCTGCCCAACTGACACTCACGTTCACGGGGCTGGTTGGGTCCTATGCTGGTTCCTCAGCTGTCAGATTGGGGTCTTGACTCCTTTGCTCATCACTCCTTCCTCTCTACTACTGGATTCCAGGAGTTCAGCTCAGTGCTTGGCTGTGGATCTCTGCTTCTGCTTCTATCAGTTACAGGATGAAGTCTCGAGGATGGCATTAATCCACGGTCCATAGAGTCCTAAGGAATGGCAGCAACTTAGTGTGTACAGATATAACTGACAGGGGAAAGGTACAAACCATCATCTTGCAGGTAGCATTTGGGTGGGTCTCTGAACTATGACTATTCATAGTTGTCAGTCAATATAAAACAGGAGATTTTTAAAGATGTATTAAAAAAACAACCCCCCCAACATTGTAAAGTGTCTCGGTATTTATATTGGTAGAATTTTAACATTTAAGTAAAATGCTAATTTTAGACTGTTTCCACTTTATTTTTTCCTCGAAGTATTAATAAAAATTGTTCATGAGATTCACATTTCTTTGGACAGTGCTGTTTAAATGGATATGTGAGTTGAAAAGGGTTTCAAGTAAGCTTTATCGTTAGGATTTGATGTAACATATCTGGAAAGTGTTCAGTAAATGTTTGCTTTATATTTTAGTGGTTGAATACATATTTTTGTTAATACAGATAATTAATTTTAAGTCACATACTTCAAGCTTTCCATATATACCAAGAAAACATGTCAAGTTTATGCCATTGATGGAAAAAGATTAGTGAAATAGCAAATTCCCACATTATTGTTATTTTGTCTCAAGTGATACTCTTGAGTTTTAAAAGAAATTTGAAGGAGAGGTGCCCCCCTCAAGTATATCTTCCTCATTGTCATGAGTGAAGAATTGTCTCTGTGTGATCGTTCATTACACCAGGGATCTAAGTGGATATAGAACCTAATCACAGTAGCCCTTTAAAATCAAAGTTTTCTGCACCTAGTGGCAAAAGAGGAGTTGAGAGACACACAGCTATGAGAAAGTCTTGATGAGAGATCTGACTGGATGAAGGGGATCCTGTAACCCAAGGCTAAGGAGCTAAGAGGTGTCCTTGGCCAGTGTCAGCAGGGAAAATGCTCCTACATCCACGAACAAACAAAACAAAACTGAATTCTGGCAGGGACAAGAATGAATCTTGAGTTAAACAACTAGACCTCAATGTATGTGGGTTGAGATCTAGCCTGTACCTTGTAGACTTCTTGTGTGTGGTGTGTTCCTGTGTGTGTACATGCAGAAGCCAGGGCTTAACTGGGTGTCTTTCTCAGTCTCTTTCTTGCTTATTTGAGATGATCTCACTGAATCTTGAGATCACAGATTCAGCTGGGCAAGTTGGCCAGTGAGCCACAGGGATCTTCTTGTCCCCATATTCCCAGTTGCTGGGATTCTGGTTGTGTGCAGCTCCTAGGTTTCCTTTTGGGAGTGCTGGGGATCAAGCTGCGGTCCCTGTGTTGAACATCAGTTACTTAAGGGAGCTCCAACCCTACCTGTCAGTCTTTGAGAAAGCAAAAATTCTATAAAAGGTTAGTTTTCCTAATAATTTTAGCTTCCTTTGTGCAGTGACACTGAATTTTTTGTTATTCTAGGCATTCATAAGTTTTATTTTAGGGAGCTTGTTTTGCACCATTAAACATTTTTTGAAATGTGCTAATTGGTTCTTGTGTATTACAAAGTTTCTGATTTTGTGTATAACACAATGAACCTACTATGCCAAAAAAAAAACATGTGTTTTCTTAGCCTCAAATTGCTGTTGACTTTATGGCTTTAATTTTGTTCTATTATTTCTTTTTTACTAACTCCTAATCCACTTTTCCCTTCACCTTTCCTGGGCTTCATAAATTAAGTACTTTTTATTTAATTTCTAGCATTAGTAATAGAAATATTTGACTCTAAAATGTTCCAGTTTTTCTTGTATATGTCCTCTAAGTTTCCACAAAGCAGTATTCATTGTATTACTGACATTCTCCCTTTGAACTTTTTTTTTTTACCCAAGGTTCACTTTAGAAGTACACATTATACCCTCTGATATTCTGTTAATTTGTTTGTTTATGTGTCTCACACTGACCTGGAAATCAGATGAACCCAGATTTGCCTTTAATTCAAGGCCTCCGAAGTGACTTACAGGTTGCTAACTTTTAATTGCTCACTTTCTTTTGTGTTGTGCATTCTATAATGTAAGGTCTGATTTCTACTTTTAGAAATTGAGATAATTGTTGTGGTTAGTACACAGTAAAAAGAGAAATTCTTTACTTGTAAAGAATATCTTTTTAAAACTACATGAAGTTCTGGCATAAAAAGGAGACTTTAGGGACTGAAGAGATGATTCTGTGGTCACGAGGACTTACAGCCCTTCTGGAGGACCTGAATTCAGTTCACAGCATCCACGTTTGGGTTTACAAGTTTTTGTAACTCCACTGCCAGGGTATCTAGCATGACCTTCTAGTATGCTTGGAGACTGCATACACATGCACCTACACAAGCAAATAAATATACATAATTAAACAAAATAAATTTTACTAAAATACCTTTCTACAGCTATCTGTGTGTTTCTCCCTGATAGCCCTTCATCAAGCCAGAGCCCCGTGGCTGCTTCCAGAACTTCCACCTTCTCCCTAGTGCCACTAATTTCCTTTAAGACTCCCAGTTCCCAGCTTGTTGCCCACCCATGACTCCAGCCATCACACATGGTTCGGAGACCTAGCTGGGTGACCTGCACCTACCTTTCCAGTCCTCCATTCCGGTTGTCCCAAAGCCCCACATTGATTTCCAGAGACCTCAGCCTCTTCCTGGCACCTCTGTCTTATTCCAGCTGCCTGACTGGACCCTCCATTTTGCCCCATCTGGCTAGAGATCTAAGACCCAACCATACTGCCAAGGAAAACTTCAAGCTCAGCCAAGCCACTGAAATCACTATGGATAACAAAAGACCTGGAACTGAAGATGTTTCCCTAAATGCAGACAGAAAATCAACATCCCAACCTTGCTATAAACTAGCTTCCTTCTGTATGTTGTAAATACCTTTCCTAAAAGAAAGGTTTCTTGAACAAAGTAACTCAACTACCAAATTCCAGATACAGACTGTAACACCAAAATAAAAATATGGAAAGCCAAAGTACACATGTCTCCAAAAAATAAAAATGCCACAGTAATAACCAAATAATGAGAATGGCCTGGAAGAACTGCCATATGAAAAATTCAAATAATGGTTATAACTGTATTCAAATAAGAAAGACTGGAATAGAGAAGTAACCCCAAGACATGAAAAACAGAGTTTTCTATCACCCTTTTCCTGTCCTCTACCAGAAACCACAACATTGGCCACCATTCTTAAACTAATACCCAGTATCCTGGGTCTTGCAGAAATTCTAAGACTTAGACTTAACAGTCTCCATAATCGAAGCCAGTTTCTTTTTATATACATTTTTTTAAAAAAAAAATAGAAACAATCTTGTTTTCCCTCTCATTCCCTTCCTCCCCTGCACCCCACAGGCCCCCTATCTCATTCCCTTTCTGCACCCTGGGAGGGTGAGGCCTTCCATGGGGGATCTTCAAAAGTCTGTCACATCATTTGGAGCAGGGCCTAGGCCCTCTCCATGTGTCTAGGCTGAGAGAGTATCCCTCTATGTGGAATGGGCTCCCAAAGTCCATTTGCACACTAGGGATGAATACTGATCTACTACCAGAGGCCCCATAAACTGCCCAGTCCTCCTAACTGACACCCACATTCAGGGGGTCTGGATCAGTCCTATTCTGGTTTTCCAGCTATCAGTCTGGGGTCCATGAGCAACGCCTTGTTCAGGTCAGCTGTTTCTGTGGATTTCTCCAGCTTTGTCTTGACCCCTTTACTCATCACTCCTCCCTCTCTATAACTGGATTCCAGGAGTACAGCTCAGTGTTTACCTGTGGGTGTCTGCTTCTGCTTCCTTCAGCTACTGGATGAAGGCTATAGGATGGCATATAAGGTAGTCATCAATCTCATTATTAGGGAAGGGAATTTAAGGTAGCCTCTCCACTGTCGCTTAGATTCTTAGTTGAGGTAATCCTCGTAGATCTGTGGACATTTCCCTAGTGCCTGATTTCTCTTTAGACCTATAGTGGCTCCCTCTATTATGGTACCTCTTTTCCTGCTCTCCTGTATTTTTTCCCCAACTCAATCTTCCTGCTCCCTCATGTCCTCCTCTTCTCTTCTCTTTCTCTTATTTCCCTTTCCACTGCCCCCATGCTCCCAATTTGCTCAGAAGATCTTGTCATTTTCCCCTTCTCTGGGGGACCATGTATGTCTCTCTTAGGGTCCTCCTTGTTTTCTAGCTTCTCTGGTGGTGTGGATTTGTGGGCTGGTAATCCTTTGCTCTATATCTAAAATCCACATATGAGTGAGTACATACTATGTTTGTCATTTCGTGACTGGTTACCTCACTCAGGATGGTTTCCTCTAGTTCCATCCATTTGCCTGCGAATTTCAAGATTCCATTGTTTTTTCCATCGAGTAGCCCTCCATTGTGTAAATGTACCACATTTTCTTTATCCATTCTTCAGTTGAGGGGCATCTAGGTTGCTTCCAGGTTCTGGTTATTACAAATAATGTTGCTATGAACATAGTTGCACAGATGCCCTTGTTGAATGAATGTGCATCTTTTGGGTATATGCTGGGTCTTGAGGTAGACTGATTTCCATTTTCCTGAGGAACCACCATACTGATTTCCAAAGTGGCTGTATGAGTTTGCACTCAAACCAGCAGTGGAGGAGTGTTCCCCTTTCTCCACATCCTCTCCAGCATAAACTGTCATTGGTGTTTTTGATTTTAGCCATTCTGACTGGGGCAAGATGGTATCTCAGAGTTGTTTTGACTTGCATTTCCCTGATGGCTATGGATGTTGAGCACTTTCTTAAATGTCTGTTAGCCATTTTAGATTCCTCTATTGAGAATCATCCAGGTCTGTGGAGAATTGTGACGGTATTTTGCTGGCCATTGCATTGAATCTGTAGATTGTTTTGGCAAGACTACTGTTTTTATTATGTTGATCCTACCTATCCAAGAGCATGGGAGATCTTTCCGTTTTCTGGTATCTTCTTTAATTTCTTTCTTTAAAGACTCAAAGTTCTTGTTGTACAGGTCTTTCACTTGTTTGTTTAGCATTACCCAAATATCTCTGAAGACTTGTGAAATGTGAATGCTAATGATATGATGTAATATCTATGTAGGAATTAATGTATCTACTTAATAAATATATGTAGAAAATGCATAAGAAAAACAGAAAGAAAATAGTTTGAATGGCTGTGAGAAAATCCAAACTGAAAAAATGTTGGAAATGAAAATAAGCCAAATAAAAATCTCATCAACAGTATGGATCACATTGAAAACAGAATCAGGCATTGAAGATAAAGTAGTGGAATTGGACCATTCTAAAAATTAACCAGACAAAATAATTTTAAATGGATAGTATTCTAAAAAGATACCATAAATAAGCCTAACCTTTAAAATATGGGC